TTTTTTTGTTTGTTTGTTTACACACAGACCAACACTATGTTCACTGATAGAAAACTCATTTATTGATCACACAAGCTTTAACTTGGAAAATTTAATTTTGCACTATAGAGGACAAATGAAAGGTATTGACCTCATAAGGTCAATCATTGCCACAGACATATTTGTAGATACTTGTCTCACAGATTAAATATGGACTGGCCATGTTTTTGTCTGTAATTAGCCAGTCTGCCTGTACATGAGCATTTGCACTACAGTCTGAGCTGACAGGGTCATGTTTGGATGTCATAGACACTGATCAGCCATAACATTATGACTACCTGGGCAACCAGACTGGTCTGCGGCTATGCAGCCCTACACACAACAAACTGTGATGCACTGTGTGTTCTGACAACTTTCTATCAGAACCAGCATTAACTTTTTTAGCAGTTTGAGCTACAGTAGCTCGTCTGTTGGATCAGACCATACGGGCCAGCATTCACTCCCCACGTGCATCAATGAGCCGTGGCCACCCATGACCCTGTCTCCGGTTCATTTTCATCCGATTTTCTCCTTGTGAACAAAATAGCAGGCTATTGTAGCTGTTGCTCAACTCTATAAGGAGTGACAGAGCTTCAGTGTTAACAAAAATAAACATTCAACAACTGCAGTGACATTAGCAGTTTTATTGCAGCATCTGGAGACATTAATGAATTGACAGTTGGAAGGTGGTTGAAGCTTTAGATAAATTGCATTAGACCACATTGGATTTTGTAGCATTTTGACTATGCAATTACAAAAAGGCCCTTAGACACATACAGCTCCAGGATTACTAAAAGGTACAGACTCTTAGACACTTTGTCCCATGCCCACACTTTGCTTCACACTTGGTTCCACTTCATTTTAACACTCAACCATCATCAAGCCTTACTTCGGTGCTACAGGAGTTTCTTTTTCCTAGTATGGCAGTGACTTCAGTATGTTGACTCATTGCCATGGAAACAGAGTCAGCATCCTTGACAAACGAGTGAACTCTTGAACAGGTGGATGACCCCCGCGAGGACTGAGCTCTAGAGGATTAGCTCTTTCCATGTTATTAGATAATTAGAGTGTCTTACTTCGACCACTAATGAGAAACATGCACATGTTTTAAACTGCCAGGAGGCTTACAACAGAACAAAAATCAACTGAATATGCAGCTGAAACCAAGATTAACCCGTGTAGATAGCATAATACAATTATACAAAACCAGATTTATTTTTTAAATTTACACAATAATTAAATGGATGCAGCAGGGATTAGTTTCTCATACAGGAGAGAACCATAGAATGTCAATAAAAAGAATAAAACCCTCAGACAAAATACTGATGGATGTTACTGATATGATACTAAAATTGAACCCAGTCCTTTATAACTATACATAGATACTGATCATCCATCAAATTGATCATCACTAAATTAAATTCATAACATTAGAGTGAATGAAGTATAGAAATACGGCTAATCTTCACATGTAAAGTTGAACATGAAAGCCACTCTTAAGAGGTTGAAGGGGATGAAGAAAAGTAAGGAATTACTTGTCAACTACTTACACTACTTACATTATTCATCCCTGACGCAAGCGTAAAAAAGACAAAAAATGTGTCCAAGAAATGCCTCGCCAGTCAATATCCAACATTGTAGACTTTACATCCTTTGACTGCTTCAGTGCAAGACGATGGAAGAGAGAATCTGAGCCCTTGTTATGGGTTGCGGATGTTGAGGTTACCTACCCACTTGCTCATGGTTTAGCCTTGCTCATTCAAATGCTACTGTATTTAAAGAGAGAGAAGAAAAGGTATTCCTGCCCCTCAACCCTCCTCAGACACAGCTCAGTTGGCATCATGCAGCTGCAGCACGCTGACATAATGAATCTGTCCTTAGAATACTTTTTAGAGTGATCTGAAATGTACCTTGGTATCAATGCAGGTTTTATGCTTTTGATGATAATTTCACTTTTACATACATAAATGTAGAGAAATGAACTAACTGCCATATTACAACCTCAACATAGATATAGTTTGTGTTGTTTTTCAACTACTACAGTAACAAGTTGAATTTATAATCATTTGCTCATTGCTGTCAGATTGAGCTATGAAATAGGGTTAATACATTTCAGGGTAAAATTACACATTATGAATCTGCTGTACAGTAAATAGATGAGGTAAGACTTTAGTTCTCTTCAACAGGATGCCCGTACATGGAACTCGGACTTTAAAACCATGGTTTGCAGAAGTAATATGGGAATGGAAAAACTACTAGTGATATTCACATTTGTTTATTAGATTAATTGTTAATTAGATACAATTAAGATAACTTGATCTCATGCAAATAAGACCACTATACTTCCCTGTGAGTTACTGCAGATTTAAAAAAACAACAATTCATTTAATCCAGACAGGACACATTTAGCATATCGCAAACTGGCTGCTGCTTGAGGAAATGCACCAAGCTTCCTCAGCACCAAGCACAGAATAGCTGCTAATGCACTGTGTTCTTCATGATATTGAGTCCCTGTACTTGTGCGCATATTGAGCATATTCAGTTTTATCTCCTTTCTTCTGGGAATATTGTAACATCAAGTGTATCTTTTTTTGGGTCATAAACAAGCATGCATGTGTTAAATTAGTGACTAGAAACAGTCCATACCTCACCAATGCAAAACAGTACAGTGGTGCATCACAGTGCATCAGTACAGTACAGTACCTGATACTCACCATGAGGGAAGGAAACTGGAACAAAACACTCATTACACAGTGAGTCACAGAAAAATGTGAGACATCCCACAGATAGAAACGGGTGACAGCAGGGGGGAGATAATTGATAATTGGAATAGTTACAATTACAGTTAAACTGTAGAAAATATTGTTCTTGCAACTGCATTGTTTGGCACAAATATAGCTTAATCATTTCATGTGAAATGCTTCTTCAGTACACTTTAAGAACAATTATTACTGGGACCACTAAAGAAGATTGTAGATTCACATTATAGGCACTACTACCGCTGACAATACTTTGTCCAGCCATATACTTGGTTTTTACCTCCTCCTGTTGACAGACAGCTGCAGTTATTGGGTCCAATGAAATGCTTTTGTAGATAATAATTAATATGGTGTAAGTAAATGTGTCTTGTTTAGTGTCTGTCACCCAACTTCACTTCACTGTTAGAACATTTAGCTTTATGTTGACTCTGGGAGCACAGCAGGATGAAATTTGACAGCATACTTTCAGAAATTAATGGATTTGGAAAATTCCAAATCAAGCTAATCTTGATTCAGATGCTCTCTCGCATTACTCTACCATGTCACTTCCTGCTGAATAACTTCATGGCAGCTGTTCCCTCTCACCACTGTAACATCACTGCTCTGGATGATGGAGCCATCTTTGGGAATTTAACTCAGGAACAGAAACTGGTTGTTGGTATTCCAGCAGAGTGGGATGGCTCTCCGAGCTCTTGTCAGATGTTTTCGAACCCCCAGTATCAATATCTGTCAGGCTCCAACAGTAGTGAGGATACATTTACTGTTCAGTGTCAGAACGGATGGGTGTATGACAACAGCACATTTAAATCTACTTTGGCAACAGAGGTAAGTGTCGTCAGTTAATATTGCAATATTATTTCAGTTATGTAACAATAAGTCATAGACACATTTATTGTAATCAAATGTTTGTTAACCTCCTTCGTGGTTCAAATTTTCAAATGAAATGCAAAAGTAAGAAAGGTTACTTCCATATTTCAACTTCTAAGAGGTCAACTTCTATGAAGACGCAAAATTATGTCATGGTTTCAATGGTTTCTTTGCAGTGGGATCTTGTGTGCAGCAGAAAAGGGCTGAACAAGGCAACAGCCACCATTTTCTTCATTGGGGTTATGGTGGGTGCCCCTTTATTTGGGTTTCTCAGTGACAGGTAAGATTGTCAATTAAAAAACACAGTATGTCCTACATATGTCTAAAATGTCACTCACTCTCTAACAAATGTCAGATAAGATTTAAGTAAAAACTAAAACATAAGCAGAGTATAAAAGACAACAATATAATACTAATAATAAGACTATAACAAGGATTGTTATGAACTATACATAAAAGAGATCCACAATTAAATAACTAAACATAAATAAGAAAATAAATGCCTTATAAGACAATTTTTTAAGAATATGTGTTTGCCAAATATGTTCTTAATGTATGTATCTTCTGAATAATTTATATACATTATGTGCAAGACTTCTGTCAATAGTTTAGTTATTGTCTTTAACCTTTCCTTCTCATGACCAGGTTTGGCCGACGGAAACTGCTTTTGGTGTCTTATTTGTCATCCATGATGTTTGCCGTCCTAAGTGCGTTCTCCCCATCGTACATAATGTTTGTCATCATGAGATTTTTTACGGGGATGTCACTTGTAGGAATAAGTATCATCTCTATTGTGCTAAGTAAGTATGCTAATGCTAATATAACTCTACCTCTGAGAAAATAAAAATAAAAAATAGTGTGTTTAGTCTTTCTTCACGGTTTTATAATATTGTGCTGACGTTTCTCCAGATGTTGAATGGTTCGGCATTGAACACAGGACCTTTTCTGGTGTGATTATAAGCTTGGATTGGACACTTGGAAACTGGGTTCTGGTTGGAATTGCATATTGTATTAATGAATTTCGGATGCTCATCCTGGTAGCGACCTCACCACTGATACTGGCCGTCATGGCTTGGAGGTATTAAAGTTTCACATTTTAAACTTTGCAGCATAAAAAGCTGAATTCTATTAGAAGTCAATGAGACACTGAACTCACCTTTGCTTCAGGTGGCTTCCAGAGTCTGCGAGGTGGCTCTTGGCAAACGGGAAAGCAGATGCTGCACATCATTACATAATGAAATGTGCTGAGATGAACAACAGGACCAAGTGTATGGACGCGATCACACCAATGGTACACTTCAGCGTTGTTAATCTGACAATATCACTGTGATATGAAAAGAAAACTACTGTCAGTGCAGAAGTGTTGTGAATGAACTGTTTAGTTGTCTTTTGTCCTGCTTTTTTACAGGCATTACTGGAATCTGTACAGGATGAAACTACAGATAAGAAGTACACTATTGTAGATCTTTTCAAGACCCCAAATATTAGGAAACTTTCTATATGCTCAGGGATAGTATGGTGAGTGTCAATTTTATTAGATCTGTTAATGGGATAGTGCAAGATTTTAAGAAATATGCTTATTTGCGTTTTCTGAGAGTTGTATGAGGTTTTCTATTTCAAATGCATGTCTGCATTAAGTATATAGCCATGAGACTGGAATAGCTTGGAATAAAGGCTGGAAAAAGTGTGTACATTTATTATGGGATTACACAAGCCAGATACAACATGTTAATTAGTGAGCTTTTGATGTGCTTGAAGGTGGATTCTGAATTTGAGGCAGAGCCAGACTAGCTGTTTCCAGTGTTTATGCTAAGCTAAACTAGTAATCCCCTAGCTCTTGTTTAAGTTTTCTCATGTAACTCTCAGAAAGAAAGAAAAGAAGAAAATATACCAAAATATTGAACTATTTAACATAGTGTAAGTTACATTAATCAAATACTAGTAAATGTAAGCTTGTGAGATATATTCCTAATGTACAGTAATATCAAGTACATATTAATGTGATATATTATGCTATATGGTATATAATTGAAGGATGGTTAATGATAACAAAACAAACATTCCACTAAGCGGCTATATCGGCTTATACCAGAACAGCCATTATTACCTTAAATAGTCGGGTAAACGCAGGTGTTACCAATTACACCAATTAAGGTTCTGTTCCATTTTGTGTAGCAGAGCCTTTCCAGTGAGTTTATAGCAGCCCCCTGACTCTGTTTGACCTGAACAGAACCTTAATTAGCATCACTGGTAACATCTGTTTACCTTACTACTTCATGGCTGCTGTGAAAAAAGTCATTTGCGAGACTCATTTCACTGCTTTGTTCTATTTTGTAGGTATGGAGTTGCATTTACATATTATGGGATAAGTCTGAATATCACTGGGTTTGGACTAAACCCGTACCTCACCCAATTTATCTTTGCATCCATCGAAATGCCAATGAAGATTGGTGTGTATGTCTTCCTGGAAAAATTTGGCAGAAAGCCTGGTGAGATGGGAGCCCTGCTGTTGACTGGTCTCTGTCTCTTCATCAACATATTTGTTGGAAAAGGTTAATTTTTTAATAGAATCTAATCATTTAATTTGAATGCATTTGTCAGTTTTTTGTCAACATATTTGAGAATTCTTGTGAATAAATATCTAAACACCTTTTCTCAGATAAGTGGATTATTCGTACTGTTGTGGCAGTCCTTGGAAAAGCCCTGTCAGAAGCCTCATTCACAATCATGTTCCTTTTCACGACTGAATTCTTTCCTACAGTCGTACGGTTAGTCAACAACAAACTTATGTGGCAAGTTTGAACACAGACAATGATTTTCTGTTCTGTTGTTCAGTACCACAGGTACTGTACAGGTTTACATTAACCTCAGTGCTTTGATTTTTCAGACAGAACGGTTTAGGCTACACCTCGTTTCTGGCACGGCTGGGTGTGTCCATATCTCCGCTCATCATGCTATTGGAGGATGTGTGGCATCTCCTCCCTGCAGTCACTTACTGTGCAGTGGCAATTGGGTCTGGTTTAGTGACTTTCCTTCTGCCTGAAACATTAAATACCAGACTGCCAGAGTTAATCGAGGATATTGAGAAACCGAGGTAAGAGGAAAATGTGTTAAAGGAAAGCTTAAGCTACAGTAAACGATAAGCCACCTCAGTGAACCTTAATGCTAAAGAATAATCCAGTCAACCCTGCAAGGGCAAGTTATGGTTATGAGAAACCATAATTTCAGTAAATTATAACATTTTCTGAGATAATTTACATGTTTTAATCATTTGCATGTGTCAAAAATAACTCCTGAACTCACTAAGCCATGCATGGTAAAATGACTAACTCAAGTTTTGTCTCGTTGTCTGTTGTAGGGTACAGTCAACAAGGAGGAAGGACATTCAATAAAAATCACACTTATTGATAATGAGAACTTGCCCTCTATATATTTGTTATGGAATGTTTGTTAAATTTTAATAATTGGAGATTATTTGATTTTAACAATAAATAAAAAAATCCCAATAAATAATGAAACCAACAGTTAGAAGGTATTAACAAATCCAAAGGTGTATTGTCTAAATAATTTAGTCTGGCAACAGCAGAACAACAGTGGAAGAAACCCAAGAGCAGACAATTGTAGCTGGAAATAAAGTTTTAGTAAAAGAGAAAATGGCTATTGGTTTTATTGAAATTATACATTTTATGGTGACATACTGGTTTAAGTCTTATTATGTCCTGCTGTCGTGGCTCAGGGTATATGGGACAGCCCAGTAATATACTGGTGATCTGCAAAGGATAAGCACTTATAAATGATGGATGTATGAAGGAGTTGGTTTCATTTGCTTGCCAAAGTATTGGACAAAATGAAAACTTTAAGGTATATTGTTGTGTTTAAGTACTCTTTCATATTTATAGTACTGTGTGTATATTCATTAGTATGCTGTGATGAATGTTGTCTGTCCTGCACCATGAACAAGTTCTGTTGTTTATTGTAATGGTAATAAAACTGACCAGTGATTGAATGGCAATCTATCTGATAGGTATGGAGACATTTCACAAAAAAACACAAAATGTCAGCTTCATGATGGGATCATCAAATTCTTTAAGGATTCTGTCTTCTGAATGTCTGTACAAAATGTCATGGCAATTAATGGTAATAAATCAAATAGAATAGTTGTAACAGATATTTAAGTCTGGACCAAAGTGGTAGAAGAAGAGCATGACCTTTATACAATAATCCCTCCCTCTGTATCAAAGGACCAGTGTGTAAGATTTAGTGGCATTTAGCTGTGAGGTTGCAGTTTGCAACATACTGATAACCCCTCCACTCCCCTCTCCCTTGCCAAGTGTGTGCTGTGAAAAGTACTAAATGCTTCCCTATCTAGAGCCAGTATTTGGTTTGTCCATTCTGGGCTACTGTAGAAACATGGCAGCCTCTGTGGAAGGTCATTTTAAGGCAACAGAAACACAATGATACTCATTTTAAGGTTATTATACACTAATGAAAACATACCTATGAATATTATATTAAATTCCTGCCAATATATCCTTCTGAATCTTACACACTCGACCTTTAGGTAGATTTTAAGTTGACTTCTGTGTCTTTTTTGTCTTTTTTTTGTACTTTGGTATTTTGGAAAGGATTTAGCAAATGATTTATTTTTTTAAATATGTCACTTGTCAGACAGCTTTTATATGGCTGAGTGAGCACAGACTCTTGCATTGCTTTACTACACGTGCACAGACTCTCTTAGCTGACAACTGACCAACAGAATTTAACAGTGTGTAAAAGTAACTTCTTTTCAAACTAACATCCTGTGTGCTTTTGATATTTTCAACTATTCTCTGAGTTACACTCCAGATTGGAAGTGTTGTATCATTTATTTTCAAGATGAAGTTTGAGAACATACTGGCAGAGGTGAATGGCTTTGGGAAATTCCAGTTAAGGACGATGCTCTTGATGGTAATTGCTCGTGTGACTTTGCCATTTCACTTTTTGCTGAATAATTTCATAGCGGTTATTCCCTCTCACCACTGTGACGTCAGCTCTCTGGATGATGGAGTTGTTTTTAGGAATTTATCCCTGGCAGAGAGGCTTATTGTTAGTATTCCAAGCCAGGAGGATGGGACTCCAAACTCCTGTCAGATGTTTGCAGAGACTCAGTATCATCTGCTGGTCAACTCTTCCAACGTTACTGACCTGCTTACAGTGCCGTGTCAGAATGGATGGGTGTACGATAACACCGACTTCAAGTCTACTGTTGTAACAGAGGTGAGTTTTATCGTTTTCTACCCAACGATAACCAAAAGTATTAAACTGATATCAATCCCAAATTAGCCACATTATTCTTTACTTTTTCTGTGTGTTGTCTGTGTCTCCCTCATAGTGGGATCTGGTTTGTGATAACAGAAGAGTGAACAAAGCCACGGCAACTATATTCTTCATGGGAGTCATGGTTGGAGCAGCAGTATTTGGTTATCTTAGTGACAGGTGTTCATGCCTTTAACTGTCAGACTCTTAAATCAGATGCATTTTGACCTCTGGGTGGTTGACACAACTTTATTAACAGGAAGAGGAAACTCGTATATTGAGAGTATTTTTGCTACAGTATATAAACCACAAAAAGAACCAAATCAATCACTTCTTATTTGGAAAGTCCAAAGTAAATACTCAGCTGTCAACGGAAAGAAATGAGTTGATGTACAACAAAGTGTCACAGACTAAATAAAACTCTTGATGTAACCTGACACTATTTCTAATCTTTACCCCAACCATAAAATGAACTCTAACCCATACATATGTATATGAATGTCTACAGTGTTGACTACTTTTCAATTTACAGAAGGAATATATCATTCTATATAATTATATTATATATCATAATAAAGTGTTGTCACACCTGAAAAAAATGAAAAAAGTGTTTTTACACAACCTATTCCACAGATTTATTTACAATTATTTTGTCTCACAGGTTTGGCAGAAAAAGAACGCTTCTGGCGTCCTACGTGATAACCACCTTCTTTGGATTTGCAAGTGCTTTCTCATATAATTTCGCCATGTTTGCTGTCATGAGGTTCTTTACTGGATTTGGAATTTCTGGAATAAGTATAATCACCGTAGTCCTCTGTGAGTTTCATGCCATAGTATGTGTCTTTTAAAACAAAGAAGAAAAGAGAACTTATAGAAAAAAGGTAACATATAAACCAATAAATACTCTGATTATATTAAATCCACAGGTTCAATTAGGTTCAAGATTTTTGTAATGTAAACGCTTGTTGTGAATTTCCTTTTTATCCAACCTGTTTATCAATTTGTGTTTAAACTTCAATGAATATTAATAATAAATATATAAAACTTGAGCTGATGAAGTGTTTACAAATCTACTGTAATTATAGTCTGTTTTAGTAGATTTGAGTTGTTATCATTGCTCTTTATAGGTATTGAATGGGTGGACATTAAGCATCGCACTGCAGTAGGTATTTTAATGAGTTTGGACTGGAGTATTTCTACTGCTGTACTACCTGTTGTAGCCTATTTTGTGAATGACTGGAGGTACCTGACCGCCACGGCAACCAGCCCACTGTTTCTGGCTATGACCTGTTGGTGGTAAGGAAAAAATAATTATTGAGCTATTTTGCTATTTTATATATATATTTGTATACTAATGCGGATATTCAAAACACTTTTACAGTGATCCTTGTTTTCATTAACAGTGTGAGGCCAGAGGTGTGACTCATGAATTCATATTAAAAATCACAGGTGGCTCCCCGAGTCTGCCAGATGGCTAATAAGCAATGGAGAGTTGAACAGTGCTCATTTTTACCTGAACAAGTGTGCAGAATTAAATGGCAGAAAGCAGTTCATGGCTGACCTAAAGCCTGAGGTACAAAATCTTACATAATATGATTATTTCTTGTCAGAAATTGATACCCACTTCCACTCTGACCAAAATGTCATTTTTACTCTTCAGAGTCTGTCCACAGTGATACTTGTAGACAATGAAAACAGAAAATATTCCTATTTGGACCTTGTGAAGACCCCCAGAATGAGGAAACTGGCTCTGCTTACTGGCATCGTGTGGTATATACATTTATTTGTTTTTGTGTTTAAACCACTGAGATTTTCACCTTTTAAACATGGCAAAAATTAATAATCTCTACAATCCACTGTCAATATATCACTTACTCAGCTTGAGAACAACAAACTTTAAAAATCAGTTTGAACACAGCTCCTCTGTGTGTCAGTGGTAAGTTGCCATGGACTCAGTGTGATAACACTCTTCAAGGTGTCCTGAAATAGAAAATTATCCATGCTATATTATATATTATATATAATATATAAGTTGACTCATTGTACTGTTGCTATGGTTATAGTGGTTAAACCTATGACAGTTGCTGTATCCGGTTCAGTGTTGGGTAGTAACTCATTACAATTAATATTATTAATAATATTGCTTTCCCCAGTAACTAATTACTAACCAATCCAGTCACATCGTTGGATTCATTTTTGTAATCGTGGAGGAAACCAGCATGAAAGATAGAAACGCTTATATTCAGCAGCTGGAAATATTCCCATTACTTTAATTTTAACAAACAAAACTGGATTTTAATCATCATAAGTCTGAATTTTGGGGGGCGAAGGTGCACAATTACCAATTTTGTGGGGACTAGCAGAAAAGTAATTAAATTAGTAGTTTAACTAATTGCTGTTGGCATGGAGTAAAAAGTGAAGCAATAAGACTGAAAAGAGTAATGAGTAACCAGCCCAACACTGATCCTGTTACAGATACCTGTCAATCAGCCAATCAGAAATTAATATTTTCGGGGTTAAATGTGTACCTTAAACAAAACCTCTCTCTTTCTGTTCATAGGTTTGGAGTGGCCTGTACATATTACGGAATCAGCCTGAACGTCACTGGCTTTGGTGTGAACATTTATCTCACACAGTTCATCTACGGCGTAACAGAAATTCCTGCAAAAGCCTTCATCTATTTCACCCTGGACAAAATTGGCAGACGGTTGAATCAGGTTGGAGCACTCGTTCTGACTGGTCTGTGTATATTCTGCAACATGTTTATCCCTCAAGGTAAATGATCAATTCAGCTTCGAAACAGTAAACTTATAGTGAGACGACAATATTAGATAAAGAAAACAACATAAAAAGTGAAAGTTATCAATCAAACAATAGAAATCGTATACAGTTGCATTTTTTATTTATTAAAGAGTGTCAGAGTTGCAAATAGTCTTTCTACATTTCTACACATAGTGGCATAGTGACTATAATATAAGTTGGGGTTAAAATGTCCTCTTTTCAGATAAGGGGTCATTTAGGACAGCTGTTGGAGCTTTGGGTAAAATGTTCGCAGAGGCAGCTTTCACAACTGTATTTCTGTACACAACAGAGCTTTACCCCACTGTAATGAGGTCAGTAAACTATCTAACATTGTGCACATTTACAAACAGTATCTACATCCAGAGGCTTTCCCCAAGAAGCAATTTACTGAGACATACATTTGTTGTATTCCTGGTTACACAGGCAAAATGGATTGGGTTACAGCTCCTTCATGGCCCGTGTAGGTGTGTCTGTATCTCCCCTGATCATGCTTCTTGAAGACGTGTGGGGCCATTTACCGAGTGCTATTTTCTCCCTGGTGGCTTTGGCTGGAGGTCTGGCTGCTTCTTTTCTTCCTGAGACAAACAACGTCCGTCTACCAGAGACTATTGAGGACATTGAACAGACAAGGTACTGGGCTTTAACTTGGATTGCATCCAAACATTCAAATGAGAATTATATTATTTAATGACGATGTGTTGTGTGTTTCAGAAGAAGATCAATCTCCACATCTGAGGATAAATCTCCGCCCTAAATTTTGTCTTCATTGCACTTTAAAGGCTCATAAATTGAGTAACAGGGAATATCAGTGGTGGTAATATGTTTCAACAATAAAACAATAAAACAATAAAGAAGCAAGTGTTTCTTAAATATACACAACCTGCATGACTTTTTTCAATAAATGTGATCAAATATTTCACCATTTGTTGTGTGATAAATAGAAGGACAAACTGTAGTGGCTTGGTACAGAGGAAATGTGTAAGGGATAATGCCCGACAAGGTGTCCATAATCATGAATTAATGGACGCCTTGAAGGGCATTATCCCGCTTATACCATGGTCACTTGCCAAAGAAAAGAAATTAAGACCATTCATTTATATTTTCATGCGTTTTACAATCAAAATATAAACTATTATCAATCATCTGGAAGTCAGAGAAATGCAGCCTAAACACAAAGGTCCATCGTCTTGTATGTCTAAACAGTGTATTCCACTACAAATTACTGAATACATGCCCTACATTTAATATGTAACAGTAGATTGCTCCAGTTAGGTAATGGAATATTTCAGAATCGTCTTGCTGAACCTATTCGTCTGGGTCACTCACTTGCTTTTGGGAATGACCTCATTATTGTCTTAAGAGAAAAAGTTATGCAAGTACACAAAACACAAATGTGGAATCTTTTGTCCTACAACAACTAGCTTACTACTAATAACTGACCTCAAGGTGTTACTTCAAATTAGACATCTTTTGACGCAGAAAGCAGTTTGGTTGATAGCAAGCAGAGCTGGTAATATGTATGTATCTAGGTAAAATGTTCTTTAATTTTCCATTGTCGTCTGAATTTTTTAACATCTTTTTAAAATCTGTTTATGGGAAATGCGTGCCTCATATGACTTTTAGAGCAAATGATATAAAAGTATCCAAGATATTTTATGAAATTCTTTTACCTGACAGACCCGGGTGTTAATCTGTAATCTGACTCATTTCACATACTGAAATCCTGTGTTATCTTTCACAACAAATTCATGCTGCATCACACTCACATAGACGTTATTTTAGTAGTTAAGTGAGGTAAAATATTCGCCAATTTCAACTGTAGTCCAGCAGCCCCTGAAATGCCAAAGGTTGCCTAGACTTGGTCTCAGAGTCAAGTTCATACATGGGCGAATGAGGAGAGAGGATTCTTTTTCAGTTTCAAAGGAAGACATTTTGCACACAGCGAGAGGCCACGATGAGGTTCGAGAACGTTCTAGCCGATATTAATGGATTTGGAAGATTTCAGATAATGATAATTGTAATCAGTTTCATTGGCCGCTTCACAATGCCCTGCCACTTCATGCTAAACAACTTCATAGCAGCTGTTCCCTCTCACCACTGCGACATCAGCTCTCTGGATGACGGAGGTGTTTTTAGGAATTTATCCCTGGCAGAGAGGCTTACTGTCAGTATTCCAGTCCAGGAGGATGGGACTCCAAACTCCTGTCAAATGTTTGCTGAGCCTCAGTATCATCTGCTGCTCAACTCTTCCACCATTGCTGAAATACCGACAGTGCCATGTCAGACTGGATGGGTGTACGACAATACCACCTTCAAGTCTACTCTGACCTCGCAGGTGACCTACATTTGTTTTCATTTTTAAAACATCAATCAAACTTAAGTGTACTTGTTCACTTTCATGAACACACTCATGTTCTCAAAGAGCAGAGTCATTCTCTTTCTTTATTTGTTAATCCAAGTGGGACCTGGTGTGTGATAGAAGAGGGAAAAACAAAGCAACCGCTACCATCTTCTTTGTTGGAGTTATGTTTGGGGCCATGTCCTTTGGAAGTCTGAGTGATAGGTATTACAGCTTGATTACTTACTTATAACTTTGATTACCCAGTGTTACAAACAATCAGTAAAATCTGAATTCTCCATAGGTTTGGCCGAAGGATCATGCTGCTGGTGTCGTATGTGTCTGGAATGCTTTTTGCTGTTGCAAGTGCTTTTTCTACATCTTACTTGATGTTTGCAGTGCTGAGGTTCTTCACTGGGTTTTGCATCACTGGCATCGTCATTGTCTCAACAGTCCTCAGTAATTATATATTTTTAATGTCTTTTCAAACTGTTAATCATGTTGTACTAAAGGTTTAATCTGAATTTAAATACTTGGAAAGTGATGAAATGTTTGTTCTTTGCAGGTGTAGAGTGGGTGGACATTGAGCACAGGAAACTGGTGGGAGTGATCGACAGCTTATCCTGGACGTTTGGGAACACAGGATTTGCAGCTATTGCTTATTTTGTGACAGACTGGCGGTGGCTAATTGTTAGCGTCACCTCACCTCTAATCTTGGCCATCATTACGTGGAGGTAGGACTCAGATCCAACAGTAAGCCCTTATCTGGAGGCGTCATGTTTGAACTGATTCCTTAACATTTGAGCGCCATGTACCCATGTATGGATTTTTGAAGATGAGCATTGGAAATAAAAATATGTACATTAATATTAGACAACATTTTAGCTATCAAGGGTTCATCTCCCAAAAGCTCAAGATTTTTTATCCAAGTACCGATAGGATCACATAACAGGGGAATGCAGAGATGCTACTTGTATGCTACATCTGTGCAGCACCTGTAACCAACTGGGGTCTTATAGTGTCTTAGTAAGGTGTGGGCCAACCAAATAAGAACATGGTACTAGAGGAACGGAGAGAGAGCGTGGACAGAGACTGCCAGGTCTCAATCTAGTAGTGTAATTGCAGATTGCAACTCCCTCACTTCACCCTCCCTTTCAAAGTGCAAAGGAGAAACTACTATGGCTGCAAAACACTTGAAATCAACGCAGCGTATGTAGATATACAAGGCTCATTCTAAGGTAACAAAAAAACTTAACGATTGTTCTTATTATTATTCTCCATGATGTTACGTGATGTTCTGGGGATTGTTGTCTTAAAATACCTGATTTCAAGGCTTTCCGAAAGAATTGCGATGCATGTAATATTTTTATTGCGGGAGAAAGTTAAAATATAGTTATATAATAATAGAATATATAAGTTCAAAATAGATTTTGTTTTGTATAATGCATTAAAAAAGTCAAAGTCAACTTCGATGACATGACGTATGACTCAGCGTTTTGTGAGGGCACTGCAATGACTGGCAAAATATACAAAAAACTACGATTGGTCAAATTTGCTGGAAAAATGCTGAGATTGGATAGAATTGGCACAGAATTCACTGGAACTGGCTGAATTTGTGCTAATTGTAACGATTCCAACATTGCAACTTCTTGGAGTGACTGAACAGGATGGCCTTAACATGTAATGTAATGTTAACACATAGGGAATAAAAAACATCTTTGACCCCAACATTAGGTGGATGCCCGAATCAGCAAGGTGGCTCATTGCCAACGGAAGGCTGGAGCAAGCTCAGATGTATTTGAAGAAATGTGCCAAGATGAACCAAACAGAAGAGCTAATTGACACACTTAAAACAGAGGTCAGGAGAAGTAACACAAATCATAAACATAGTCTTGGGCCTGTAATCTTCCATATTAAAATTAGTTTTTTGTTTTTTCTGTAAACTGGCATAGTTATTCATCAATCCTTTCATTTTCTATCACATGGTGTAAAGAATAATGCTGCTTTGCATTCTTTCAGACACTATCTACTATTGTTGTGACTGAGAAAAAAAATCGGGTCTATTCCTACCTCGACCTGATACGAACACCCAAAATGAGGAAACTGGCACTACGTACTGGTATAGTGTGGTCAGTATTCCTAGTGCCTTTGTGCTCAGTGATGTTAGATTAAGAAATATCTTGTTTTGGTCAATGAGTCAGTTTCACATTATATCCAGAAATGCTTATATTTTAAACATACTATAAACTTAATTTAATGACTTTCCATTTTCTCTTGCCCCAGGTTTTGTGTGGCAACTACATTTTACGGCATCAGCTTCAACATCACAGGCTTTGGGCTCAATATCTATCTCACTCAGTTTACCTATGCTCTGATTGAGCTCCCAGCCAAAGTAGCAGTTTACTACTTACTGGATAAGATAGGCAGGCGATCCACTGAGGTGGGATCTCTGCTGTTGGCTGCCGTCTGTCTTGGGATCAACATTGTAGTACCTAAAGGTAGTCATTCATTCATGTCCACACACTTATATATGTAAGCTTTAGGTTTTTTTGGTTGGTTTAAAAATGGAACTGTTTTAATAACAGATTAGTAATTTAATCATTTAATGTTTTCAGATATGTCCGTTGTCAGAACAGTGGTAGCGGTCATTGGAAAAGGGTTTTCTTCAGCCTCCTTTGGTACCGTTGTGCTCTACAGTTCTGAGCTCTATCCCACTGTAGTAAGGTAACTATGCATGTTTTCTTTTTCGTCTTTGTCTTATCAATCTCAACATCACACTTTTTGATTTGTAAAATACAGCACATACTTAGAGCTTTACTGCAGAATCATCCTTGGTTTAGTTAATGTCCTCTGTGATTATCTATAAGATAAGATAACCTTTATTTGTCCCACAATGGGAAAATTGCAGTTTGCAACAGCATACACAAAAGGGCAGAATAAAAAATAACAAGAGCACAAAGAGTAGCTTATAAAAGATAAATAATGAAATAGAATAGCATTGCACAGACTGGTGTCAAACTGGTGTTTTGAAGTTTTTTTTGTAATACTATTGCACATATCAAGAGTGTTCGTTGTCGTATAACTGTTTTATTTAGGCAGAATGGTATGGGCTACAACTCCTTCATGGCTCGACTTGGCGTGGCCGTGGCTCCTTTGATCCTCCTACTGGACGAGGTGTGGAAGGATCTGCCTCAGGTCGTCCTGTGCTCTGCAGCTGTACTGGGGGGAATAGTGGCAAGAACGCTGTCAGAGACACGCAACAGGTGCCTGCCAGAGACCATAGAGGACATTGAACAGGATTGGTGAACAGTCACTGCCATCAGTGCATACCCAGTCATGATGTTTTTTAGTAGTTCAATTTGTATATATATATTCTTATTTGTAGAATTACCTTCAGGTTTTATCTAAATATTGGTTTGTTGGAAGGATATTTAGGAAGGTGTAAGGCAAACTTTATCTGGAGATTAAAGATTGTGCTCTTTAAGTAACATAGTAGTAACACAAGTTGGTACTATTGACAGTAAATAATGACTTAAGGTGGTATAGGGCAGTGGTTCCCAACCTTCTTTGGCTCATGACCCTCTTCTATGCTATGCCAACCGTGAACTGTTTATCCAAAGATCCCTTCCTTTCCTTTCAAGTTTTTTCCCCCCAGAAAAAAAAAACAAAAACTTACTACTAAAATGCAAGATTTGAGTAAAGACAGAAAAAGTAAACACAATTTTGTTTGGCAGTAATTTTGTTTTCTTCTTCATTCCTATGTTGTTATTCATCGCTTAAGTTTTTACCTTGTGATCCTTTAGGGCATTAATTAAGAAAACAGAATCATGCACTTGTTACTCTGAGGTAGTATTCCCTTGTGTCATCAAAAACCTTTCCAAGATTGATTTAGATATTTAATATAGCAGATTTGTTACTCCACTAGGGACCACACTACTTTTGCAATAACAGGCTTTACTAATTAATATATACACAGAAATTAAGTCAAAGCTCCTTTATTAAAGAAACAAAGCAAGCACAAATCTTTTTTTATGACTCAGCAATCCCCTAAAGGAAAGTCAACCACATCTAAATGACATGTTTCTGATATTCCTTTTAAAAATCTTTATAGCCAGGTCTAATATTTACTGATATTTCATCTGACATAACACTTAGTTACAGAATTAACATTGATGGGAAAAAGAAAAAAAACAAACAAACAAAAAGCAAACAAAATATAAAAATCAAAATGCCAAATCTGAAACATTAAGATACAATGATACGGAAAGATCTAAAACTATAGTATGCAGTTGTTTTCCAGGACACTTCTTGGCTATTGTTCAGTACTGGGAATACTCCTTGCTCTCTAGTTTGGCAATGATTCGCTCCAGCTGTCTTTTAGCTTCACATTGTGGGAAGTTACTCATTTCATAGTACTGGGGTGCAATCTTCACCAGCCTGTAGAAGAAGAAGAAAGAGGATTGTGAATAAGTCTGTCAGGAGATCAAGTACAATCAGTTATATTCATTGAGCTTTATAATCCTGTACTAGTAAAACGTTTCATCTGTGCACACATACCACTCTGGTTTGATGTCTGTGCAAGTGCGGATGTAGTTTTTGGTGGTAAGGACAAATTCATTGTAGAGCACCCACTCGGGCTTGTGGTCCAGGACTGTAGATGGGTGCAGTTGGACCACTTGGTTGTCTTTGACTGTGAGGTAATGACCTGTGCGCTCCAAGTGAGCCACCTGGAGGATAAAAAAAATAAATAAATTACGGTTAAATACAAACCATACAGGAGTCATATCCTGTAAAAACATCATGAAAGATGTAAACATTTACTGATGTGTGCTTACCTGCATGAAGAAGCCGGTGCAGAGCGCTCGGCGGATGTTGATGTAATAATCCCTGCTGGTGAACTCTGTGCTCCGGCGAGGCAGGTTGAAGCGGTCCATAATCCTGGACAGCTGCTGCCGCACGTTGTCAGCAGACATCAGTGAACGGTAGTTGACAAAGTTGTCATAGCACCACTGGTTAGACTCGTGGTCTGGGAAAAAGTATAACAAGGAATCAGTTTCATTTGGTTAAGTTCTTTATACTTCCAATACAGGTATGAGAGGCCTTTAATTTTATTTCAATAACAAATTTAAGGCTGTACTCATCGATATTTTTAACAATGGACTGTGTGTAATGTAAAAAGGCGTCACTTATATTATTAACCAAGTCTTTGTAACATTTATTTTGTGTATTTGGGAACAATGTTTTGGGTTTGTTCGACTCTTTAAATGATAACTATTCATATATTCACAATCGTCAAAAACAAATGTAATTTACTGTAATAATTTAACTTTAAACTGTTCTGTGAGAAAACCATCAGACACAAGTTACTATTACAATATTTATGTCTTGAAACATGTGTTATGGGGATCTTTAATTCAATTCAATTCAATTAAATTCAATTTAAAGCCGCTGCTCACTTTGTTTGAAGGCGTGGTAGACGTTAAGCAGCGTCAAGTGGTCTCCGTCGATGTGAGCAAACCTCATCTTGGACTCGTCTGCTGCCTTCTTTGCCTCCGTGGGGCGGACAAAACACTGTGGGACTAAACAAGGTTGGTATGGGCCCCAACAAAGCCGCCCATAGGGATGAGTCAAACATTCACAGAAAAATGGAGCAAAGCCTATGATGCTAGGGCACTCGACACTGCGTTGGGACAGGGCAGGACCACAAGCTCTATCAAAGGGGGGCTGCAGTCTTTTCTCATGGTCTTTCCCAACTGTTATGGCTATTAGCTCGTAGAGAGGGGGGTCATTTAACCACATCTGTAAAACAAGAGTTTTCACACAACTACAAAGTGTTAGGGACACCAGCAATGTTTTAACTTTTCAAGATTCAGAGATGTAACTTTGTTTTGGTATCGAGAAACAATGGTTAGGCCATTAAGAGAGCAGATTATTCAAATACTTCCAGGCTACACATGATAACTTTACATATCAATAATAGGTCAAATTCACAATGCATTAATTCAGTAAGAAGAAAATATAGATAAATGCGATGAATATGAAGAAATATAAGTGGTGCCTGCCCTATCCACTTGCTTTAGTGATGAAACACTTGGAAAGGCTCACTCACTATTCAATAAATATTACAATATAATAATCCTTTATTATGGCCTTAAATTAAAACCTCAAATTAGAGAGCTTTAACATTTACATCACACTCAGAGTAAACGCATTCCAACAAAAGTGAATTTGTGGAGTAAAAAACGCTGCATGGCAATGAAAAGATGGCATACTGATTATGTCATTCACTATTACGATAAAATAATGATATATATATATACTACATTTCCTTGTTTACAACTTGGTCTTACTGTTAAAAAGAAATGTGTTCATCAAAATTAAATGTTGCAGAATTCTTCTCCAACAAACTAACTGCAACTGGTTTAAACAAAAATAATAAGATTAAATACAGAAACAATTTGAGTAAAAAAACTAATTTGTAGTAGGACCAATATTTTTTGTTGCTACAAATTTCATAGGAATTGAAAATATATGTATTTTTAAAAATACTTTACTAATATTAAATTAAACACAGTTACGTATATATCATTAATAGTTCTGCCTTCATTCACACAAATGTTGTGCGTAAACAAAAATTCTACGTGGGAAACTTTTTGTCCAATACAACCAGTGAGCGGTTGTGTGTTTAACCCCAAGAGACTTGGCCCACAGAAGGGAAGGAAGATGTCAGCCCAGTCCTGGGCATTACCTGACAACATGGCAGTAATGGAAAGGATCTCGTTAGAGCAGTTAAACTCGCAGCTGGCAATGACCATCTTGGCCAGCTGGGGGTCCAGAGGAAACTCCGCCATCATGGAGCCCAGCTCCGTCAGGTCACCATCATCGTTGAGAGCAGCCAGGTAGTTCAGCAGCTCAAGGGCCCTCATCAGTGTCTCAGGAGCTGCAGAAGGAGATATGGGAGGAGACAGACAGAAAGGTCAGACAGTCAGGTCCAAGTGGAGATTAATAAATGTTCTATCATTCAGACAAACTAATGCAGACCAACTCACCTGGTGGATCCATGAAGTCAAAGTGCACAAGGTCGTCGATACCCAGCTTTTTGAGCTGCAGCACAACAGATCCCAAGTTGGACCGAAGAATCTCAGGGTATGTGTTATCCTGGAGTGGGGATGTTTACAATGTTAATAAACAACTATCTGTAATCATTTTAAGAACAGGCTAAACTAACTTACTAACCAGAAGAAGTTTGTATCACTGTTGTCACTTGCCTGCATCTCTGTTTTGTAGGCCTTCTCTGTGTACAGGCGGAAACATTTCCCGGGACGTGTTCTGCCGGCTCGTCCTGCCCTCTGCTGGGCAGAAGCTTTACTGATGGCCGTGACGAGCAAAGACTCAACTCTGATACGGGGATTGTAAACCTGGACACACATTTGAAAGCGTGTTTAAGTGAAATAGCTGGACATCTAGAAGTAACCCCTAATAAAACATACTGTATCTGCATTTATACTACTGAGTTTTAATGTAGCACCATTTTACACACAGGATATAATGCAATGGAAATCCGTTGAGGTGGGTTATGCTTTGCTCACCTTTTGCTTGGCAAATCCAGGATCAATGACAAACACCACACCGTCAATTGTCAGAGAGGTCTCAGCAATGTTTGTCGAAACCACAACCTGAGGATGAAGCAACAGGCTGTCAGATATCCATCATCAAAAGTAGGTGCAAATGGACACACAATACACAGCCATCCGCGGAGGAAGACATCTTTTAATCTAGTTCTGCTAAAATCTGTTGTAATATTTAAAACGTACCTTTCTTCCTATTGCACCATTGGGCTTTCTCGGAGGAGGCGGCTCGAAGATCCTTTGCTGCTGTTGTGGTGGCAATGTAGAATACAGTGGAATGATTTTGATGTCTCCAACTTCAGGTCCCAGGTCATCTACCTCACGCTTGATCCGTTTGCAGGCCTCATCAATTTCCTGAAAGAGAAATTAAGATGTTACTTTGTTTGTTGAGCGAACAGAATGATGCTGCTATAGTAAGAAATCCACTGGATCAACCACAAGTCTTACCTCTTGACCAGTGAGAAACAGAAGGCAGTCACCTTCATCTTCCTCACACATATGAATCTGTATGACAGTGCGGATCGCTGCCTCTAGGTAGTCTCGCTCTGGTTCGGGCGTGTAGAAGATCTCGACAGGGTGCGTACGTCCAGGAATAGTCAGGAGAGGACAGTTGTCGAAGTACACCTGGAACTTCCCGGCGTCTAGCGTGGCACTCATGACGATCACCTAGAAGGAAAGAAAATATATTCTAAATGTTTTTTTGTTTTTTTTAAATATGCCTCTATCTGTACGTTGAGATGAGTGCCAGCTCCAGAGGACTTTTACCCAGATGGGTCAATAAAACAGCCACAGGAGATATTTTAATGACATTTGCTTGACTGAGATGATACAATATCTGAACTTATTCTGTGATGTTGATCTGACATAGCCGTGCCTACATGCAATTCTGTTCTACTTTGTGTAAACTACCACACTCCTTGTCATCTGTTGAAAATGTTAAAACACTGAATAAGGTGTGAATGGCCAGAATAAATATGACTAGAATCCAAAGGGGCCGGCTAAGTCTTCAGCCTGTGTTTTCTATTCTATTAATTATACACCAATCTCTTAAACAGTGATATTATACAGAGATTATACAAGTGTCTAATTTAAACAAATAATAAAGTACTTTAATCTGCATATTTGTTTTTATAATGGCTTTGTAATTTTTTTATGGTCCGTAAATAAGTACTTGTGCCTCCCAAGGACTTCCAACACTAATTTCTGTTTCATTATAAAACATTTTGAGCCGAAATTAGCTGATTCCTTCTTTTAGTCCTTGGGAGGCACAAATCACTGTTGCAGGTTTTTTTAAACTCAGGACCTGTGTGTGCTTTGCAAACAGATAAATGTCCAGGTTATCAGCCTGTGTATTTAGTAAAGCACCTGGTTGTAGCAAAATGTTAAAAAAAAAAAAAGATCACATTGCAATATTTTGTAATATTGTAGTGATTCTCAAAATCTTGTGTTTAAACCCCAACCGCTAGATAGCAAATGTAAACTAAGGGCTTTGATATTGGATGTTACATACAAATGCAAATCCAACTGTTGTGGTTGCAAAAAAAGAAAGGATTAAACTCAGATTTTGTTCTCATGGTGTTTCTTAAACTAGATTTCTTTCCCCAAATCACAATATATTGCCTTGCTTATGGTATCACAATACATTTGATTATAACCCCTGTATCACAATGCGTATTATATTGGCCAAATTCTTGCCAATACACAAAACCTAACCGTGATAAAGGCAAGCCAATAATCCATAGCTGTTATTAAAAAATGAACAAATACCTTCAGATCTGGTCTTTGACGCACCACCTCCTTCAGCACTCCCATCAGGATATCTGTGGCCAGAGTACGCTCGTGGGCCTCGTCCAGAATGATCACACCGTATCGCTCCAGCAGCGGGTCATTCATAGCCTCTCTTAGTAACATACCATCTGTCATGTACCTAAAGAAATGACAGACAGGCTTTGTTAGATTAAGATGTTCTGTGTCTATAAAAAAAAATGATTGCTGTGCATTAGCAGACCTCAGTCACTTACTTGAGTATAGTCTTGGCAGAGCTGCAGTCCTCAAATCTGATGGAGTAGCCGACTTCCTGCCCGAGCATGACGTCCATTTCGTCCGCCACCCTTTGAGCCACGCTCATAGCCGCCACTCTCCTGGGCTGGGTGCAGGCTACCGCCCGCTTAGGGCCGGGCTGCCCCCTCACCATGTCCACACACCACTGCGGGATCTGGGGATTGAAGCAAAGGTTGAAATTAATCCACATACATTTTTAAGAGGAAAGTATCAAATCACTCTCACTTTTTAAAAACACACAGCAAAAAATCTGCCATTATACTGCATATGATGGTAATTCGGATGCTTTCTACGCAACGTTTTAGTGTCCAGCACATAAGAGAAGGGCCGATTTATTGCATTTCAGACCTGTGTTGTCTTTCCAGAGCCAGTCTCACCAACAAGCACAAAGCTCTGATGACGTGTGATGATATCGCTGAAGCTTTCCTTGTACTCCCACACTGGGAGCTGTAACCTCTTCTTCAGGATCTCGTAGTAGCGCGGTGTGTGCGGCAGGTTGGTGAATGGGTTGATCTGCTGGTGCATGGCCATCTGCTTTATGGTGGGCAAGCATGACACAGCCGGCACCGTGCTGTTAGATGGGGCACTAACAGGCTTCGTGTCTCTGTCCCGGTCTCTGTCCCGGTCCCTATCTCGGTCCCTGTCCTTGGATCGGTCCTCCCGGTCTCTATCACGCTCCCTGTCTCTCCTGTCAACATCAGAGCAGGGCATTATTATAAATATTTCCATCCAATGGTAAAGAAATCATTATGTAACAACAACAACGTAATACACTTCCAACACTTTGTGATTTCCTGTCAGAATTGTAAAGACTATGTATTCAGTCCTGTTCACATTGTGTGGGATTAAAAAGCAGAGTTGGGAAAGTTTCCCCATGTTTACAACTTGCAAACCTTCACATTAGACAACTCACAATGTTTGTATGATTGTACAGTGGGTCGTGCATTGACAACATAGCAGCATATCCATTCAGATTGGTTTTAATTGCTTCGAATGACAGACTCTGGCTGATGTGAAATGTGTTTGTTTTTTTGTTCCAAAAAAATAAGAGTTGCCCCGTTGTAATTATGACCTGGATGTTCATGTGAACAATGTTTACAAGTCAAAAACTCTACAACCTTGCGTTGTAAATGACAATAACATAACCTTGAATAACCTTGAATTATGGGGAGTCCTATATGATCTAAACCTGCACACTATAGCTCACCTGATTCGATTTCAGAGGCCTGTATTGATATTTTACAGTGTATAATTAAATGGTCTATATTTTCTTTTTCCTTTGTGGCCCATGCTGACTGCGAGGTACTGTCACATTTTACTATTGACATATGAACTTGATGTAATGGAAGCACAGTTTCAACACCACCTCAATACCTAATACCAAAATATACAGTTACAGACATGGATGCTAATATTGACTAATATCTGCACACTCAATTAGTTCTAATAAAAATCAGCCCTGCAATAAATCCTTCCTACCCGAGAGGGTTTTTGTTTGACCTTTAATCATTTTGGAGGTGTTAATATTTAGCCTACTCTTTTTATGGGTTGGGCAAAATATTAAGACAGACATTTTAATATTATACAATACAATTAAACAGCATCGGAGCATACCTCCACCAAAATAACAATAAACCCTAAAGAACACCACTTTAAAACAGTTTCACCCAAAACTGAAGCTTATAACCTTCATGTCAGCATGATTTGAAGCAGTATTGTTGTATTAGACAGCATTAGTTATAATAAGTGAAGTCAATTAATAAAGGTTTTTTGGGGGTTAAAAAGAGTTCAAGTTCAAGATGTTTATTGTCATATGCAACAAAANNCTTTGCTGTCCACCCTGATACCGACGCATTAAATACAATAAGTAACAAAAAACACAATATTACCCAATAATAATATAATAGTGAAAAAAAAACAATATCACAATAAGAACAGTAAGTAAAAAAAATAATAAAAAAAACTCAATATTACAGTAATTTAAAGATTAATTTAAAGTAATTTAAAGTTAAAACGAGCCTCAAAGTTTCAGCTAGCAAGCATTTTACCGCGACGGTAAGAACTAACTGTTGATCATCTCCTAATGTTTAACATTTCCAATTATCTAACGTTAGTAGTTTAATTAATTAATTATCTGAAGAACCAAATCAGTCTTTTTCATTGTAGCTAAGGTTAGCGAGCTAACGTAAGCTAAGTAGCAAAGGCTGTTAGCAACACACACACACACACGTGGAGCTATGCGCTATATGAACGTTAGCTGACGTTACATGTTCGTCTGTTAGCAGCAGCTAACACATTAACACACTAATCCATCAACACATCAACACACGAGCTTATAAACACAACGAGGCCAAACATTAATGCTCCCGTGATCAGAGGAACTATGGAGCAAACCGTGGCTGCCACATTAAACAGCTGCGGTTGTATTGTCTCTTTACATTCATGGTGGCTGTTAGCCAAATGAACCAGCAGCAGCTAGCAGTTAGCTGGTAGCTGCTGCTGGTTAAACAGACAGGAAGTTTGAGGCTTCACTTACCCATCAGACCTCTTCTTACTGCTGGAGTAGTCTTCACCCAGATCCAGACGATGTCTTTTGGACATCTTTAGGAGAAATTGTAGCTTATCTTTAATCTATTAACGCGAACACAATCCTACCGGGCAATATGGGACTAACTTCCAGGTTCCTGTGCTTGTTTTCCTCCTTTCAAATGTGTTTAACTGCGGCTGTGCGGATTACATTACCGCCCCCTGCTGGCCTGGAGGGTGGGCAGTGTTTACAACCACAGGCTGAGCTGGATGACCAGCGCTGGGGCAAGTTGGGCAACTGCCCTGCAGCCCCCAAAGTGCAGGCTTTATGTTAACCAAATGGTTTGTGATAGTCGATACAGGATAATGCACAATATTCACTGACGTGTGTAAGGTAAAAGCCAATAATGTCTTGAAAATGGGTTTCTTTTGTCAAAATCTACTTTTAAGTTCGTTCTTTCAGTATTGTGCTTGTATGCATTAATTAATGAATGGATATTTTATTTTACTTCATGTATTTCCAGCCTGCATGGGCTTATGAGATACCACCAGAACCAGAATGCTGAATAAACTATACATTTTCAAACAATAGTCTATAGGCTACTACAAAAGGTTTAAAACGTTACTTGGGCAGTGCAGCTCATTTTTGCCCTTATAGCAGCTCCTAGGGGTTGATCACACGTCCCTCTACCTTGAAGTAGCTTTATGGTATCCACCTGTACCCCAAACTATATGATAAACAAATATTGCTACCTGTTTGAGGGGATGATTTGGGCAGATAACGGGCAATATTGGTTCAAATCCTCCCTAAAAACAATCGAGCAGCCTACATAACCTTACTGGAGTATTCAAATGTTTAATTTTTGAAAGTGATTTGTGACTTTGTAAGATTATTTGAAAATCTATGTACAAGTTACCGTTTATAAAACATGTAAGCTTAGTTCCACCACAACCAGCTACGAAACTAAAAATGCTCCTTACACATTAATGCACAAATAATATAATAATATAACACATATATCGGCCACACTGCCTGTGTTAAGAGCACTTTCACTTAGTTGAAAACACACTTTAATTTTAGTGGAAATTATACTTCTTAATTTAGAGTAGCCTATTTTTTTGCAGTGTAGTGTTGCAGTTCTCTTGGCAGTCATATTGCAGACTGCGTGTTAGTGCATATCGTATTGTCAGTCTTTCCATTTTTCTAGATAATAAGAAAAGGCAGCAAAAGTAATAAATCCATGTTTTCTGGATGTTACAGCTGTTTCAAGGATTGCATAAGGAGGAGGAGTTTATTTTTTTAGAAGACCTGGGTGTAATTAACGACACGTTAACAGCAGTTTTACATGTTTCCAGACTTTTTTCAATGAACATGCCTCGAGTGCTGAACTAAACTGGATCAGCTGCATGCGTGGAGAAAAGAAAAAAAAAAAAGTCAACACCAGCTTTATTAGAAAAAAATACTGACGTCTGCGGTGCCCTGTGTGTGCAAAAACCTCTGCTCCACCCTCAGAAAAACAACGCCTACTGACTGAGGCTTATACAAGACTTTTATAAAAGATATTTCACCTTGCCTCGTCAGATGATCAACAGTGAGCAGCTTCTGAACAGAGAACGTGTGTTTCTGCTGACCATGCGTCTACACGGGTAAGTGGAGTTGGCTCGTTTAGCTGCATCCGGAGTCTCTGCGTCTGGGCTGTTTATTTACTTTGTTTGCAGGATAAAATACTGCGACATGTTCGTGTGGTGATAGGAACAGCATGTGAGCTTCATTAGGAGGCCCCCTGTTCTTTTTTTTTAGGGCTAATACACTGAGTGTGCAGTCCACATTGTGTTCTGTGCATTCGTTTTAAGTGTTAACATAGGCAATAGACAGGTAAAGGAGTTTGATATGCAGCAGGGCATATTACCATTTGTGTCAATAGGATGAACAGAATTACTCTATTACTGTGGGGCATTTTGGAGGTGACATAAAACACTATTACACAACAATTGTGCTACTTTTTTTTTTTTTTACTTTTGGGGGAATATTGTACTTTTTTACTCAACTACATTCAGAGGATGGAAGTCACTCTTACCACAATTACTTATGTAGCCTTTTAGAATAATCCTTTTTTTTTTTTTTTTGCTGCTTTACACTTCTACTCCACCACATTTTAGAGGGAAATATTCAACTTTTTACAACTATGCTGATTTATAGGCTGCTTATTATAGGCCTATTTAATTTGCAGATTAATAGCCACATGAGCTCCACCATCCATCAGAAATGTTAAAATACTTTACATATTTATGAGTAAACTATAATAATCCCACAATGCAACATATGTAATAATATATACCTAGCTTCTATATCTTGAAAAGAGCTACTTTGTATAATAAGTCGGCTACTTGTTTGATACTTAAGTACATTTGTTACATGTAATGTAACCAAGTATTTTCATGGCAAGGTGTTTGCTACTTATTTAAGGAAAAATCCTAATAATCTAAGAGACATTGTTCTAATAGTGTTAATATTTTTCAGGTCAATGAGTACATTGGGAGCAGTGTTGGTTCTGCTGGCGGGCTGTCAACAATGTGTCTCAGCTGACAGTGACACTTTGGCTCCACCAGAGGTCTCGCAGCACAATAGCACTCTGTATGCGGCCTGCAAAATGAGACCCAGCACCTCACTGGCCGAGGGTCTGCCCAAAGTGTACGGTCAGGTGCTGTTTAAGCAGGATTATCCTCAGGGAAAACTCAAAGTCCTTCTTCGGTTCAATGGCTTCCCCACGGAGGGTGATCCACAGCCCAGAGCGGTGCACATCCATCAGTACGGAGAACTGAGCAAGGGGTGTGACTCCACTGGCGGCCACTATAATCCACATGGTGTACATCACCCAAACCACCCTGGAGACTTTGGCAACTTTGAGCCCCAGCAAGGAAAAATCAATGCCATAATAGAATCTGAGGCAACGCTGTTTGGAGGGATGTCTGTGATCGGAAGAGCAGTGGTGGTCCATGAAAAGGTCGATGACTTAGGGCGTGGTGGAGACGCTGGGAGCCTGCTGCATGGAAACGCAGGCCGGAGGCTTGGCTGCTGCATTATTGGCATTTCCCCCCCCGATCTCTGGAATATGCACCATAAACTGTACAGTAGGCGCCTGAGGAGTAATTAATCTGACAGTAGTGGTATATACTGTACCGGAGGTCAATTTACAAAGTTTGCCCTTGTATTCATTCATTCATTGTATCCATTGTATTCTGTAGTCTGATATGAAGAAAAATCAATGGCTCAATCAAATTCCCTTTCTCCAAACATTCAACAATGGCTTATCAAACTTAAAGGACTGGTCCAGGGTCAATTTCAAGAACTTTTCTCAAAATACTAAGACTAAATAACACATTACTAGCAGAGTGGTTGGTTTGCCGTTCCACCACTTTGGTCCAAACTAAATATCTTATCATCTACGGGATGGATTGGCACACAGTTTGGTGCAGACATTCCTGCTTCCTATGAATCCAACCAACTTTAGTAAATCTCTGACATTTCCCCTATAAGCACCATCATCACACCAACATTTTCTGTCCATTCTTTGTTTTATGATCAAATACTCAGCCTCAACTATACTTTGTCTTTAGTGCTAAAAGCAAATTTTAGCATGCTAAGCTAAGATGCTCCACCTGCAGGCATCAGCATGTAAGCATTGTCATTGCGAATATGTTATCATGCTGACGTTAGCGTTAAGCTTAAGAAACCTGCATTACATAAGCTTTACCTTCAGGACAATGTCACAATATGTAAAATCCTGATGAACAGCATCCATGTAATTTTGGATTTCTATACATTAAACTTTTTTTTCAGATACAACAAACCAGTAGTTGAAAACTATTTATTTTGCAGAAATAAATCAATTTTGTACACATTTTTGCTCACATTCAACAACTATACACACGGCTCTAGATAATTTCTGTCTGGTAAGTTAATATCTGTTACTACAAAAAACACAAAGACATCAGTGCTGGTAATCTAGATGTTGTGGCTTCAGTGTGTTGTATGTACTTGTAACTAAATCTTTTTGTTCAGCCTCAACTGACAAATTATTGTAAATCATCAAATATCTGTCTTGAAGACATCTGTCAAGGAATTCAAAAAAAGCATTTAGCATTAAAAAAGAAATATCCAATTAATTAATAGTATATTGTCATGCTGCATTTTATATATATCTTTGATAATATTGTGTGCTCATAATTACAAATAAAAACTTGTGCAAGGATGTTTAGTTTTAAATTAAGTGACTGTCGCTTCTAGACAGAATCTGCCAGCAAATAAGTAAATGTCCCACAATAAAGGAATTAAAAAGTTTGGAAAATGTGTGTATTATATTTGAGAAACAAAATAAAGTCTGTGCTTAGCTTTAACGTTGTTCACAACAGTTGAATGTCTGTTGATGCAGTGAGTACAGTAAGGTATGGTAGGTTTCTTTAAAGTCAAGGGGAAGAGTAGACCAGAGGTAGAAAGGTAAAGAATAATGTTTCTAACAAACTATTCATTTTTAAGCAACATCTTTCTGTTCATGTTCAACTAAAAGCAGCACTTTGTCCTTCTTAATTTTGACAGCAGAAATGTAACGCAAACTACATTCTCCTTAACTGTTGTGAGAGTTCTCGCTCCGACTGGGACTGAATTACGAGCGAAGAGCCATCAGTCACAGTCCAAAGCACTTTTTTGCTACTTTTTTTTTTAAATCACCACAAATCAGAGTTTCTCCACATTTGATACCCACACACTGTATAACTTCCAACTATTGTGGCAACAGTATGGGAATAACCCTTTTCTCTTTCAACAACACAATACCTCGCACACAAAAACAAGGTCCATAAAGGAATGCTTTTTTTCCCCGTTTGGTTTGGAAGAACTTGACTGACCTGCACAGACCTCTGACTTCCTGCCAGGTTCTAAAATCTTGTAGAAAAACAAGATCCCAGTAGAGTGTAGGCTGTTATAGCAGCATATTAATGTTCAACAATCACATATGGGTGTCATGTTCTGGTGTCCACATACTTGAGAGAATGTGTTGTCATTTATCAGTTTAAAAAGGTGGAACTAGGGGTGCCCAGATAACTCACCTGGTGGAGCTGGCGCCCTATGTGCCAGGACTGAGTCCTTGCTGCAGCGGCCCAGGGTTCAAGTCCAACCTGTGGCCCTTTGCTGCTTGTCATCCACTCTCTCTTCAGCTGAGCACCGAACATGGGCAATAAAAGCCCCCCACCGAAAAAGTGTTAAAATTATAGTTAAAAATAAATAAATAAAAATAAAATGAAATAAAAGGTGGAACTACACAAGGCTCTAAATGGATCAAGTGAAAGCACAAGTTAGATCATCAGTGACGGTTGAAAGTTAACAGTAAGATTTTTTATGTGTGTTATGAGTTATTCCTACTACTTTTACAGGGTTATATTAGGGAGAAAATCCTACATGAAGTCTCCCAATAATTGGTTTTGATATTTCTTGGATTTACAGTAATGTAAATGTAGGCATATGTTAACAAAAACAGCAATCATTTTAAAGCTGCAAACAAGTGTGCAATTATTTTGTAATGTAGTGGCCATTAGTGTCACTTGCTCCTGATTTTCTTTTCATTATCCATAAAAATGAATAAAGTTGCATCACATTATAACTGCATCGTTCATCCTTCTCCTTGTTATCCTTAGATTTCCTGACTAACAATCTGTCTCATCTGAAAGCTCTGTCTCTTGGTTTGACTGTACGTCCTCCTGCTCTCTGGCAGAACTTGCAGTGGTGGCAGTGGATAAATCGATACTGATGTTTTCCTCTGTTATAATACACTTCGTATCAACAGTTTCCACCCCGTCAGTGTGTTCATCTGACTGATCCTCTCCTGAGTTCCTCTCTAGAGTTTGCTGCAAGTGGCAGAGGTCAAGTGGCACATCTGGTACTGTGGGAGGGGAATCACTCAGACACTCCTCTTCTTCAGACTGGTGACTCATTAAAGCAGTTAAATCAATTGTGATCTCCGATCGACCACCGTCATGACACTCTTCACCGTCTGGTGTCTCGAGCTCTTCCTCATCCGACTGGTATGAGGGGTTCTGCTGGCACGTCTCTTCGTGAAGTTCCTCTCGACCGCCTGACACAGTTGGTAGTCCACTCTCTTGGTTTGGGACCTCTGTGGAGCTCTGCTGACCGACAGCTATCTTTTCTGACTCTTCATCACCTGTAAGGAAAGAAATTGAATCTCACAATTGCACAGAACGATAGATGGCGTACACCGACAGAAATATATAGTTACTTTAGCCAGGTTTCTATCCAAATGTGGCTCAAATTTGAGCTAAATCTTCAGAAAATACCTACCCCCAAATGTAAAAACATTTTTTTCACTTCCATAAAAACAACTAGATCCCATCTAAACTAAAACCAGCTGTTGAATATTCACCTTCATGTCCAGGAGACTCTGTTGACTCATCCTGATGAGTGTGCAGGGTGATTGTGTCTTTTCCTCCTGTTATGATAAAACATTATCCAAAATAGGCTTTTATAAAAGCAGTATAAATCATCTGCATGTCATTACAGAAAACGGTTAAATTGGTTGGAAATGAGTCAATATAACTTGGCTAGATATGAAAAGTGGTGGAAGAAGATGAAGTTCAAAGGTTAAAAAGTACATGACAAAGTTATGAGAAGAACATACTTCCATATATTCCCAGAGACACATTATAAGTCAGGCCTCCAGGTAGCAAGAAGCAAAAGGACAGGAGAAGAAAGGATAAGGAATGTAAATTATTGTAAACAGTAGGTAGAACGCAGGCTTCATTGAAACACAGCAGTCTCAGTATATTACAGTGCTTATGTTCACCTGGCAGGCTCCATAATCCAGATATTTCTAATGTTTTTAGTTTCTTCTCCAGCTCTGCTACTCGATTTCCAAGAATCCTAAAAAGACGTAAAAACTATTAAAATTCACACGTTCTGTCCAGCATCTAAGTCATTGATGTGTGCTAATTAGAACCTAGAGTGTAAAGAGAGAGTGGGAAGTATGAGATGGGAGTACTTGTTGATTTGCCGTTGGTGCTGAATCACCATGTTCTTCTCGTGGATAGTTTCCAGTAGAGCTGTGGCGAGAGACTTGAGGTCTGAGATGGACTGAGGAGTCACTGGCAGACTGCAGCCGTTTTCTTCAGACAGTAACAATTCCTTCACTGCACACACATCATTAGTCACAAACATATGCTGTTTTAAGATTAAGGGTTTCATAAAAAAAAAAACACACACAATTTGAGACATTGTACATACTGAAAGATTTTTAAAATACACTCCTTCTCACCTTGTTTAGCAGAGAGCACCCCAGTCAGTGCACTACTGTTTGTTTGTTTCCCAGAGATTTTAGAGTTTTTCCTACACTCCAGGGCACTCTGAAATCAACAAAAAGCATTATTGAGAATGAGCGGTTTCTGTTTCAGAAGAAAAAAAAACTTTTAAGGTTAAATGGCTCTGCTTTCATAGAACTAAGAAACTATCAAACATATATAAAATATAACTGTAGGAGTAAAATATTGAAGAAATAAAAATGTACCTACCTTATACTTCACCAGGTTTGTTTTGAGTGAGTTGATTTCCTCTTGAAGTTGACTGAACCGCTGATGCAAATACCTGAAAGATCATTAAACCTCATCAGTTCTATCATCCATCTGTTTACATGGGAGCATTCACAGATATGACTCTAAAAAAATCTAAATATAATCATGTTATAATCGCTTTTATTTTACAGCTAAATATGCATAAACATATCATCATAAATATGTGCATTATTTAATTGAACAAGGATAAAGGGGGACAACAGTGTTTCAACAGCTGTTAACTGTGGACACTGTGGCATATTCTGATATTTCAGAGCAGAGTAACAAACCTGTTCTCCATGCAGAGTGCATCTATGTCTAAAATCCGTGTCTCATCATTGCCCACGATGTGGTTCATTTCCACATTGAGACGATGAGCCTTCTGCTGAAAAACGTCACGCTCTGCTCGTACGTCCTGAAGCTCGTCTGTGAGCGACTTCACGCTGTGCTCCAGAACCTCGTTCTACAGCAACACAAAAACACACCGAGTAACGACATAAACTGATGATGAGACAGCATTTCCTCACTTCATCTACTAATACGACAGGTTTGTCTTGCTTAAATGTATACAATTTAATTCTCTTATATCTCTCTATATTGTTGAATAATTGAAGAAAACTATCACACTGATCGCATCCCATTTCAATTTTATCTCCAGAAAATGACCTCTTATGCAATATCTGGCACACATTTACATTATTATTATTTCTTGTTGTGATTTATCACTGCCATTTCTTCCATTCACCGACTTTTCTGCACCGAGTACTTTTAATACTTTAAGGACATTGTCCTCATTATACTTACATACTTTTATTAGCATTTTTTAATGTATTTTTACAGTGTGGGATTAGTACTTAACCTTAAGTAAAGTATCTGAATACTTCCTCCACCACTGATTGTGTGTGTGTATATGTAGTCACAAGCATGGTGGAATTACTTCCAAGTCTAATTAAATGTCACAATGCTGTCAACTACAAGCCATTAACTGAAAATCACCTGAATAAGCTGAATTATTGCCTTTAAAAAAAAAAGGTCGAGATCAGCAGGCAGCAGGCACTGTGCCTCTGTTCTCACCTGTTCTCGGGCTCTTTCTAACTGTTTGACCAAATCCTCCCGTTCATGTGCAGGAAAGTGACGAGCGCCGACCTCCTCGTCTCCCAGCCTCTGTTTGGTGATGGTCATTCGTAGGAGCTGAGAGACAGAACCAGTTAAGTTGTCCATTATTTTCAGCACAACCTGAACGCTACTCACTTATACATTGATGCTGGATATGTGGAGGTATAATCATGAATAAAAAGAGACATTATAACCTAATTTGTTTTTATTGCAGCTTTCAGTATAGTGCACAGTATGACACGGTACCTTGTTATCGCCTTGAGCTTCCACCAGTCGTTGTTTCAGCTCTTTCACTTCCTCAGAAAGTTGACTGCTTTTTTCTCTGGAGTCCCTCAGCAGCTGGGCTAAATTCACCTGAATAAGACATGAGCGTTATGTGGGAAACATCACACAGACTTAGTCAGCTGTTACATTAATATATTCAGGATTGACATCAAAAGTTTTATACAAAGATTCCCCCATCTTTTAACCTAAAATAATGAAGAGCATCCAATTAGCTCTGATAAATGTGCCCTTTTTTGCTCCAATAAAACCACTGGGGTTGTTATTAACACCACAGGCTGTGATCAATAAAAACTGTTGGTTACTAAATTGTGTACAAAGCATAACTGTGCCACCCAGAAACTCACCTGGCCTGAATGCTGTGATTGTTATACCCTCAGAATATTAAGTATTAAAATACAACTTGTCCATAAACTCAATTTACCCCCAGGGATCAGTAAAGTATGTGTGTGCACATAACTGCATTTTGGGTATTGAAGTCCACTTATTCTAGCCTTTTGGAGCATTTGTGTAAACTGCCAAATGCATTTTTAAGGAGCCTTTTCTATGGTTTCTTTAGAGTAGTATTTTACAACCATATACACTTCTGTTAGAAAAACCACTTACTTGATTCCTTTTCTCAGGAGGCAGAGAGGGATCTCCATCCTATTAGTTATAAAAAACAAAGGGTACTCATTAAAAGTAACATCTTTAAAATGTAATTGAATTTTGATTCCTATTATAACACCCTAACATGATGCACCTTTAGGACACACAGAGATGGCTTACAATGAGCTCTCTGTACTTCTTCTTGAGTCCTTGGTGCCGCTCTCGGAGCTGGTTGGCCATCAGCTTGTACTGATCCCGCTCCTGCTGGCAGGTGTCCAGCTCTTTAGACAGAATCAGAAGAGCTTCTTTCTTACTCTCCAGCTTCCGCTTACAAATTAGGAACTGCAAGTAAGAACAAATGTTTCAGAAGGAAAAAGTTAAAGGCATTGTTGCATGGATATTGAATGGTACTGAAAAAGTAGGCAGTGTCAAAGCTAAAAACGTTATATTCATTTAATGTTTATTAAAGAAGATAATGAAGCAGTGCAGCCAACATGGAGAACCATTTATATCACAATAAGCACATGAAACCTTCTGATGTTGATTATTATCATGATCCTGTTTAGGGCTGCAACTAATGATTGTTTTCATTCTTGATTAACCTGTAAATCATGATTTGATTTCCCAGAGCGAATAAAGCAGAGAAAAACAACAGACCCTGACATTTGAGAATCTGAAAGGAGTGAATGTGTGGCCTTTTCGCTCGATAAATTAATTCAATGATTCATCAATTATCAGGGCTCCTGTCAATACATTTTCTGCTGATCCACTAATTGATTAACCATTTAATTACCTGTTAGAGCGGTAGAAT